GATAATAATTAATGTTATGAATTGATAGTTATGTTTGTGTAACTAAATGTCACGTGAACACGTGATCTTGTACTACTGTTTCGTGACTAATTAATGTGTGCTACGGGCTATAAATATTTGTTAAAAGTAATTATTAAATTATTACTATTTGTTACATGAACTAATATTAAATTCTAAATATTATCTTGAGGGTTATTATTATTGCAGGTGTTTTTAATATTATTTTATCATTATATTTTCATTCTGTAACAACATCACTATCAGTTGTTCCATGGTGATGTTAGCTTTCGTTGATAACAGGTCAGAGATAATAAAATAGGATGGAGCGTTCTGTGTCATGTATGGCTATTGAACAGGGGGTACCTTTTTCTTCTTTCGTATAGGCTCTTCAGGTACTCCTTTACCTTTTCCTAAACATAATCTCTTGGCGATAAGTTAAATTGTTGATTTACTTGTAGATCTAAGGCCTTCTGCTACTTCTCCTCTGCCAGTTTTGAATGAGAGGTTTGCTTCGTTCACACACTTACCCTCCAGAGGTGTAACTAGTGATTTAAATGCTGCGACTCTTTCTAGTTGGTCGTGATGGACTGTTCAGCTTCCTCTTCTTGGGTTATGAACATGCTGCTGTTCGTATTGCTTTGGAATACTTGAAGTGTGAGTTGATTTGTTATGATATTGGTTTAGGTTCTATTTGGTCCTTGGATAAGAAGAGTGTTGGGATTTCTTTGGTGTCCTGGTCTCATGGGACTGATTCGCGACATATATCCCATTTGGCTACAAGTGTAACAGCGGAACGGATCATTAACATTATTGCAATTTTTTGTGTTTTGTTCACTGTTTTCATTGTAATTTGATTATCTATAATATGTGTTTGCCATCCTATTTTCCTTCTCCACAATTCTCTGTAACATTTTAGTTATTGGAACCAGAGCTTTTTGAACTATCTACTCTATTCTATCTTCCTTTTCGTAGTCCTTGTAATGTACAAGCGGGAATTCTGGTATACTCGTGAGAGTGATGACACCATAGCTGCTGTGATTTCAGGATAGGTCTGGTATTCTCTTTGAACTGCCTTGCAATTCTAATTACTGTTTCTAGTGTAAGATTTTCTTGAGATAAGATAAGAGGTCATGCCTGATAGGTGACATCTTTCTATAATCCCTTTAAAAACTATCAGACCTTCTTATCCTCGTTCCACCAATTTTCACCATTGATCCTTCTAATCAGCCTTTTAACATCATTAGCGTATTGCCCCACAGTTTCGTTCAGCTTTTGTACCTTCATTTGCAACTCGAACCTCCACTGGTTTATTAAAGCAGTGATTTTGAAAGTGATCAGAAAAGAGAGTTCGAATAATACATGGTCTCAGTTATTCCAGCATGTGATGGGGTTTCATCCTTCTTGAATTTCATTAAACCATTGGTCAGCTGGTCCCTTAGATATCTATTAACTACACGAAGTTT